CTGGCCCTGACTTCTGTGGGGGCCCTGGGCGGTGCACTCTGTGGATTCTGATCCTGGTTCTGATCCTGTGGGGGCCCTGGGCGGTGCACTCTGTGGGCTCTGATCCTGGCCCTGACTTCTGTGGGGACCCTGGGCGGTGCACTCTGTGGGCTCTGATCCTGTGGGGGCCCTGGGCGGTGCACTCTGTGGGCTCTGATCCTGGCCCTGATCCTGTGGGGGCCCTGGGCGGTGCACTCTGTGGGCTTCTCCTTCACTAGCAGTGCTGAGCTTTGCGACAGCAGCACTCACGAGAACAGCGTCAGTGCTGATCAAAACAAGCACACTTTGTTTCCTTGCTGTTGCCCCAAACACCAACAACTCAACAGTATCCATCCCTGAGGCAGACAGGCTTGCACACAGCATGTGCATCGTGCGTCTATCAAGTCCTGTTATGTCACAAGGCCACTTTCTACGCCTCACAGGTGACGAGCCCTGGTCACACAGCCAGGAAGTAGTGGAACCAAGATTCAGACTCCTGGCCCCAGCAGCACGGCCTTTGCCTTCTCGTGGCGTGACGAACACCCTCTCAAATGAAGCAACTCTCAAACTCCATGTGTATCTGGAAAGAAAAGACTACATACAGCATTGATAGCATATTGTATTTTAATCTAAAGAAGATGATTAAATTCAAGGTTTAGAAGTATAAAAGGTTACCAAATAAATTTGGATCATAACTGTTCCTTACATGATGGTGACATGTAATTGGTGCTTGTGTTGGTGGTGCCAAAAGTGCCCTCTGCCCTCCACACAGTTTAAATAAGGGAGAAACCCCATGACACATTTCCGTGCACGGTCGCGGACGGACACCATCCTACAGGACTGCTTGGCAGGTTTCTCCGTCAGGAACCTTAGCTGACAGAACGGCTGCAGCTTTCAGGGGCAGGGCTTGGGAGTGGCAGCTGGGGCACACAGTCTCACCCCGTGGCCACTGTGGCCCTGACCTGGGCTGCACCGGTTCAAGCCAGTGACTCTCCCCTCGGCCAGTCCCGAAAGGCACTGCGCGGAGGCAGGACACCTCAGAGAGCTCCAGGTTGGCAACGAGAGCAACAGCAGGGTCCGGGACACCCTAACCACACCCTGCGAGAGGGCTGTGTGTGGATACTCGGGTGGTAGCGGCCACAGTGGAGACTCACGTGTGGGGAGGCTGGCCATTGGCTGACCAGACTGGGCTTTCTGGGTGAGGGGGTCCAGCCTGCTGTCTCCCTGATGCAGCTTGCTACACACAGAACCAAGACAGAGGCACAATTCACACAGAAGCTGGTCTACGGCAGTGCCGAAGAAGCGTGTGTCTTTCCTCAGCCCTGGCTTCGATGTTAGATCCCTTCAGCACAGACAAAGCTCACAGTGAGAGCAGCATCTCAGAGACGCTCCCAACAGTAAACTAACAAGGAACCCCAGGAAGCCAGCCCGACCTGGTGGACTGTCACAGTGTGTCACACACGGCACACAGGCTGGACCTGCTGGCCAGGATAGCCAGGATGCTGGGAGAGGAGGACAGCTAATCGCAAACAAGCCACTGGGTGGACAGTGTCTGCCCATGCCAAGGGGACAGGGGCAGGCAGAGACGCAGGCCCACGTCAGGGGTCCCGATGCCGACCTGGGCCTGTGGTGGTGTGTACTGGGGCAAACCCATTCCCCAGGGGCGGATTCAAAGGTCCAAGGAAGCACATACATTGTATGTGGTTACTTTGGTTTTTAACTCGGCCATTTCATTTTCACAGATTAAAACGGTCTGTTTAAATATCTTGCGTCTACAAAGTGCGCATACTATGTGTTTTTGGTTTTGCTCTTTAATAGCTGTTTGGTGGGGGGTCCCCCACAGGTCTAGGAACTGCTGTGGGGGTGCGGGCTTCTTATCCTTGCTTCCTCGGCTGAAAGAGAGAGAGAGAAAAGACACTGGGTTAGAAAGGCAGCCTGTCTCATCCGTGAGGCCCAGGCTCCCCTTCCAGGAAACTCAGGGCCCCTGCTGGCACCGGGAGGACAGCAGAGAGCAGACGTGCAGGGGGATCATTGACTGAGAAGGACAGTATGGCGGGCGCTGCAGACTCCGTGGTCATTTCCTCCCGCAGGTTGGCGGAGAGATCAAGGAAAACCACCAAACAGAAGAACACCAGGATTTCCTGAAATAGTCCAAGCTGATGAAACACATCCAGCGTTCTAAGGAGTGACCTAGTCCCTTAGATTTATCATATACAATCCACAACACACTAATGTTGGCTTCAAACTTTACGAGGACCTGCCTGATCTTTTTCAACCTTTCTAGTCCTCATCCTCATGTCTTGTCTCCTCTGAGAAGTATGCTTTTCTACTATCATTCTTAGAAGGCAGAAGCCTTTCAATTAAATGTGTCTTAGACTAAAAAACAATAAACTATCATAATTTATATGGTTTCTTGGACTTGTTTTTCCAAGTGTTCCAAATCCTACAAACATAATGTGATACGTGTTTGCATTTTCTTTTTAGAATAACTAACCCTGAGAACATAGGGCTCTTGGGGTTGGCTTTTGAGGACAGCATGAGAAGCCTGCATTTCCTCCACGGGTTTTCATTGAAAACTCACAGCTCCTTCCTTCAAGCATTGCCCCTGGAAGTAGAGCCTGAGATTCGGGCTGGGGCACCTTAGGAAGACTGGAAGTTCAAGCCCATGGGGCACGGAGGGCGCTTAGGGAAGGGGCCTCCTTCTGAACTGGGAACCAGGGGAGAACAGCCCTGCTCTGACATGAGGTCACCCAGAGCTGGAGTTGGGGTGACTGCAGAAGCTCTGCTTTTTTTTTTTCTTTTAATAAGAGTGGATAGATAATGACCATTGCATTGGAACAGATGAAAGAAAGAACTGCCTAAAAGGAATGTACGATTAGGCTTTATACATAGGACAACAGCCCAGAGTAAGAGGACTGGGGTCGGGGGAGGCCAGTAATTATGCAACATGAATGGAGATTTTTTTAAAAAGTGAACTTGGAGAGGGGGAAGGGAGGGCAAGGGGGTAAAATGTGCAACAATGATGAATAAAAAACTAAGTTCCCTGTAAATGTTCTGCAAAATTACAATGAAAATAAAATTTTATTAAAAAAAATAAAGCGCCAAAATATCTAGAGAAAAAGACTCGACTCAGGATTTCAGCTTTGTCTACACCAGTTTGATGTGGGCTGGAGAAGAGGGAGAGGAGACTGGGCAGGCGAGGCTGGGCAGGGAGGCTGGGCAGGCGAGGCTGGGCAGG